AGTCGTCTCGTTCAGCTCCGTATATTTCTCCTCTCAGTAGGGTTGTTTACAACGCTCGCGATTTCCAGTTAGCTTCTTAGCTTAGCCTCCTTCACAGCGACACACACACACTTCAGTAGAGGCCACGCCTCCTGCAAGAATCACTTCTCAATAGCAGCGAGTCCAGACCCTCTGTACGAAGCAAAGTGAAGGACTGGGTCTGGTTTGAACCAGGCTAGGCAGTGGTGGGCCGCAGAGTCCACAGCAGCAGAAAGAGCAGGGAGGGAGAAGAGGCTGTCAGCTCTGTACTTAATAACTTAAAAACATAAATAAATAAATAATCTACAAGACAGTCCTTTAGGTCTGTATGCAGATTGGGGAGAACTTGTGTAATTCACAGATAATCCGTACAACCGGTCTTCTTCCTGASCTGTATGATGAACACAGAACTGATTCTGTTTCTGATACTTCACCTGATTCTTTAAATCTTTTCCATGACGCCACACAAACATCGAGGGTTTCTGGTCCTTCTTGATTCCTTTTACAGAAATAGTTTTTGAAATCTTATCTGACTTGAAGTGAGAAGATTTAATCTGATTTAATATCAGTCATTGAGGAAAAAAAGGGTTGTGTCTTTTTGTACAGTGTATATAAACATATTGTTTGATAAATCTTTTATGTGCATTGTCCTGCTGTCGTGACCCCCCTGTTAGAAAAAGAATAAATATTGTTTCCACCGTTCATAACATATTTACAACACAGTTGTTCTAACCAGAGCAGCTGGACCAGTCTGATCTGTAGTTCTGTAATGACTCCTGAATCAATGCTCAATATCACTTTAATTGTTCCAGCATTAAATAAAGCATCTCTCATTGCTGTATGATAGATGTTTATTATGGGATCAATCTTGTGCCAGCAGGAACTGAATTTGAATTGCTCAGATTATATCTGAATGTGAATAATTTGAAATTTGAATGCATTGGTTTGAAAATTAATTTTACTAAATTGAAACTGAATTTAAAGTTTTGTATTTGAATTCATTTGCTTTGAAACTGTATTTTGGTTTATTAAAAATTCAGGTTGACTACTTTCACTTTCAGTTCCATAATTCAGATTTTTGTGTCACATCCTGGTCCTTGAGAAAGCCAGGCAGAGTAATCAAACACAGATCCACAGATTTATGTTTCACTTTGGTGAAGTTTCCCTTCTGTATGTAACAGAGTTGATGCAATCCACTGTAAAAGTGACAAAAACAAAGTTATTTTATCGCAGTGATTAACTGTTTAAGTCAGGGGTGTCAAACTCCAGTCCTCGAGGGCCGCTATCC